GAGGGTGGGACATTCGCTTTCAGTGCTATCAGGCTAAAGTTAGCATTTTCCAAGATCTCCTATTGCGCCTTTAAGTCATTGCATGTATGAATTTCATTTTTATGCATTTTATGTTGAATTTTATTATATGTTGTGTATGTATTGTGTATGTGTGTGTATGTATGTAAAGAAGACATGAACAAAGCCGTTTTCTCTCTTGCAGAAACTAACTCCCTGGGTGGGTCTAAGGAAGATAAATGTTTCATACTGGGGGTGGGAGGACATGTCTCCCTTTACTGCCAGCACGCTCCAGTGGTTACCAGGGGAGCCAAGTGACTCAGGGTTTTGTGCATACCTGGAAAGAGCTGAGGTAGCCGGCCTCAAAGCCAAACCCTGCACTGCCAACACCGAGGGGCTGATCTGTGAGAAGCCAGTTGGTGAGAAAAGTTTTCGTTGTGTGTTTTATTTTATTTTTTTTTGCACCTTTCCTTTGTAACATGAACCTGGAGGTGATTCAACACCTGCTCTGTGGTGGATGCTGTTCTTATACATCAAACCCAAACTCAATCGGCTCCCTCAGAAAACTCCACAAAGTTATGAAGAAATGGGAAGTCTGGCATTCACACTGTTCTGCACATCCTTACTCCTTTGTATGAGGGGCCGTATAGGCCATAATTATTGAAAAGCCTCTTACAAACACTAGTGAAACGAAAAACATTGATAAACCTTAGTGAAATTCATTTATATGCATTACTGAAAAACCTCTTACAAACACTAGGGAAATGAAAAACATTGATCAACTTTAGTGAAATTCATTCATACGCATTACTGAAAACCTCTTACATACACTAGTGAAAACACTTATCAACCTTAGTGAAATACATTCATATGCATAACTGAAAAACCTCTTACATACACTAGTTAAAACATTGATAAACCATAGTGAAATTCATTCATACGCATTACTGAAAACCTCTTACATACACGAGTGAAAACACTGATCAACCTTAGTGAAATACATTGATATGCATAACTGAAAAACCTCTTACAAACACCAGTGAAAACATTGATCAACCTTAGTGAAATACATTCATATGCATAACTGAAAAACCCCTTACATACTCGAGTGAAACGAAAAGATCAACCTTAGTGAAATTCATTCATATGCATAAGTGAAAAACCTCTTACAAACACTAGTGAAAACATTGATCAACCTTAGTGAAATACATTCATATGCATAACTGAAAAACCTCTTACATACACTAGTGAAAACATTGATCAACCTTAGTGAAATACATTCATATGCATAACTGAAAAACCTCTTACATACACGAGTGAAACGAAAAGATCAGCCTTAGTGAAATTCATTCATATGCATAAGTGAAATAAGTAAAGATTTCAGTAGATGATGAGAGCTAATTTCACTTGAAACGGAAGCTGTGTCAACACTTCCGTTTAATTTGGCGCGTGTCTCACAAACTCTTCAATGGCGGTTAGTCGTAAGTTGTCTGAAGCTATTAGTAATATAAACAACATTTTACCGTCGTCAAGTACAATTCCGAAAGTGGGATAAAACAGCGCGATGTTACAGAGC